CTGGAGGGCTGGTCAGGAGAGAAGGTAGGGTACAGCTTCTCTCCTTCCAAGGTCTCCAGGCCACCTGCTGTTGTTGCTGTTTCTCCCAGGAAGCAGACAAGAAGCCCCAAAGTTTCCTTTCTCCTGCCTCATTCCTGTGTTTATAGTGCTGCAGGCACAGGGTTGTACCATTCACGATGTTCCCCAGCCAATCCAAGTCTTTTTGGACTCCAGCCTCTCTGCTCTCCTACTCCCCTGTGGATGGACCAGCATCATTCAGACAAATTTGCTTTTTATTTTGCTAAGCACCAGCCTGTTTCCTGTTCACTGCACTGACCCGGCTCCCTGTGCCAGTCGCAGCCCCAGTCCCATTGTTTTGCCTCCAGCTGGATTGTCCCACGACCCCTTGGCTTGTGCGCTCAGCTGGAGCTCACGGTGAACTCTCATGGTCATACTGTCCCCAAGTTTTCTGAGTCTGTAGCTCCCGAGGCAGGTCTCAGTACTGAACTGGAAGCCAGGCTTTGTACAAAATCAGTATATATGCATAGTGCTCTGCTCCTTTGCAGAGTGCTGCCTTCCTTACCCAGGAGGAGAGCACAGAGAGCAGGCAGAGCTGGAGTGCTCACCTTATCTCTGCCCTACAGGTATTTCCAACTGAATAGGAAATCTAACAGCTGCAGTTCACTTCAGCTATATCACATGGTCCTCTGTGGTTCAGTTTAGGGCCAACTTACACATGCACTCACTAATGGAAATGAGGGTTGAACATTGGTTAGGCAGGTCAAAAACTGCATGGCTTGAGTCCTACAGGGTTTTCTCTAGCTACCAAGAGGCTGTGGCTCTAGCCCTAGGTGATGGTAACACATAGTATCTAGTTTGGGAGCTTCTTTCCACATTCTAATTTTATACCTGGTATTCTACTGATTATACTGAACTTTTCCCTGAGTATCTCACTATAATTGAAAAGGAAATCTGGTTCTTGAAACTATTTATTCTTAAAACAAGGAAGTTCTCCTATTTTAGTGTAATGGCCATTTCATTTCAAAATGCACCACTAATTTATCCTCCAGTACCAAACTGAGCTCTTAAATATGTAGGGCCTAGTAATATTTTCCTTTTCTTTAGGGAAGACTGATGCATAACAAGGAAACTAGGATTTAGGGCTTTTTTTTTTACAGCCCCCACATACACACGCACAGTGGGCAGACACAAATCCTCTCTCTCCTTTTTCTCCCTCGCTTCCCCAGGCTTTGTTCAGCTCAGAGCTGCTGGTGCCAATGGCTGAGAAAAAGGTGCAAGTGCACCTGGATAAATAAGCGAACAGGAACTGGAGCAAGAACATGAATCACTCTCTGGCACTAGGCTGCCCTTCGTTTCTTTCCATGGGTCTCAAAAAGTACGGGCAGTGCCTCCTGAACAATCCCAGCTGACATTTGTTTGTTCTCAGTGGACCCATAGCAGTTCCAGGGTACAGCCAGATCCCTTGTAACAGCACAGGGGCTCACAATGGCAAAGGCATTGACAGTCCTGGCTCCTACTGACTCCAGCAGCTGTTTTGTGAGAGCGGACACATAAACACCTCTGAAGTTCTGGACTTAGCACTGATTGGAAACCTACATCCTGAGCAATCAACCCAATCCAAGTCCCAGACAATGAAACAGAATGAAACAAATGTTGGAGCAGCAAAAATAAAGTCATAGGCTTGCTGTGCATGATTCATCTGACTCAGCCCCATCTCCATCTCCCACTACCAGCATGGTGACCAGATGCTGGTGGCCAGGAGGCAATTGGGAAGCAAGCATCTCTTAACAGGGCTCTGCACCCACTGGAACTTCTGGCAGGGTACTGAGTACCTGGCTGCTGTCTTGTGCTGAGACCCTTCCCCAGCCCACAGACGCATTGATCACTTGTTCCAGAGACAGGCAAGAGGCACGTGAGGACCTGAGGTTGGATTTGTGTCCCTGGAGGCAAGCAGTCCTTGGTGCTGAAGCAGCAGAGCTGATCACAAGCTAGATGGAAGCACACACAACACTGAGACCCCAGGTTGAATCACCACAATCCCTCAATTTTGTGAAAGATAAACAAATGAGTGTGATGTTTGACACCTCCTGCTCCAAGCAGAGAGCGGGGAGTTTAGGCCACAGAGAAATCAATGTGTTTTGTACAAAAGTGGGTTTTTCCCTGTCTTTAATTTCTCCTGGAAGACAGTCACCTCCCTCCAAATTCTCTCTAGTAGTCACACACCGCAGGTACCACAGTTTAAGTCTGAGAAAGAACCTTTTGAAGGACCCAGAAGAGACATTAAGAACGTGGGCGCATAAATTGCAATGGATATCAAGCCAAAAATGTCACTGCATGCAATTTTTACACAGAGTGTGTACACATATGCATATGGGGGGGGGGGCGCATGTGCGTGAACTCCTTCTGCAATAATGGGTTCATGCATGAGCTACCCCTCCTGGGGTCAGCAAGGAGTAGGTAGAATACATGTGTGTGCATGACAACTACAGCAGTTGCTTTCCCAATAAATCTCTATTCCAGGGAGTTTTAGCAGACCTGTTGCCTGTGCTTTGCTAAGCACTGCAAATGGGTGATAAGAACATGGTGGCATGGGCAGTGATAAGCGGGGTCCCTCCCTCTCTGCATGAGCTCAGTCTCTAGCCAATGGTGCTCTGTAAGTACCAAGACCAGCTGCAGGCCTGACTGCTAGTGCTACTGACTGACTACAGCTCCGGGCCTGCTTTTTGATATCAGCAAGGACAGACATCAGCACAGGTAAAGGCAAGCGGGAGAGGAGACATTTGCAGAGAAAGCTGCAGTATCTGCAAATTTGTTTTTAAAAATTTTCAGAGAAAGCAGTATTCTGGCAGAAATCCTGTTTTGCAGAGTTAGGCTCTGCATTGCTCATGGACTGCTGAGGAAATTGAATAAAGAGATGGAAAAGCACCTGTTTAAACAAAGGTGTAGAAGGAGGGAGAAAGTGATACCTGGAATGAAGCCAACCCCAGCGCAGCTGCTTCTGGCACTGCACAGGGCACTGGTAACACCTAACTGCTGTGCTGAATTTATGCAATCATTCTGGTCCTGTTAACCTGCACGTGAAGCACAGAGCTGGCTTTCAGCAGCCTGCCTTGCTTGCAGATCTTGGTGCGTTAGGGAGAGTGTTCGCTCTTAACCAAAAGAACTTGCAATGCTCCTGTCTTTACCTCACAGAGGGGACTTGCTGAGACTTCAGGGTTACTCTGAAACTTCAAAGTTGAAATTTAAACAAGCTTTCCACATCCCTCCCTTTAAACCACCACAAATCCCAGCCTTGCTGCAGGGTCTGATCTAGAGAACTTTCAGGGCTGTAGCCAAATCCATACCCTCAACCCCCACCCTCCTCCCAGACCTCCCACTCCTAAGCCTGACTTTGTGCTTAAGCCATCACACTCTCATAACCAGTGAGGATCTGTGGAGACCCACCTGTCTATGCAGGGATGTAGCACTGCCAAGCTTGAAAATCTGAGGTCATGAGCTGGAGTTCCTTAAATCATGAGGTTTGACTTTAAAAAGCAGCAATAAATGTTGAATTTTCTCATACGCTTTGGGTGTTGAATTGCACTTGCATCTCCTTGTCATGTGACAAAGACCCTCTTCACTCTCTAGTAGCTCATTAAGGGGGAGGTCCAACCTTGGGGCACCATCCCTGCCTGACAGCTCATGTTTGAATTGCCCTGTGCAAGATCCCTCTTCACAGGAGGGGCAGAAACTAAAATTACTCCCCTCCCCTTTTCTGTGCTAGGAGGACAGAGGCTAATCTGTGTGACGCACAGCAGGGCAGATTTTACTTTACATCTGTGTAAAGTGCAGAATCAGCCACAGGCTTATTGCTCAGCTACATCTGTGTGCAGTAGATGATGCTTAGTGCGATCACTCTCCATACAGGGCGAGGAGCCCTCACCCCATACTGCTGGCTGCATGACACTGCTGGAGTGGAATCCTGTGCTGGAAGAAATGAATGCCAGGTGCACAGTTTAGCTACACTCTATAAGAGTTTGCTTCTGCTCTCTCCTCCAAGGTAATCCTCTGTCACAGAGTTAAAATACATACCACAGTACCCAGATTTGTGATTTATATTTTGTTTTTATTCTTTTACAAGCAAGAAAATCCCTGGATTAAAACAGTTAGAATTAATCAGACACCCCAAAGAATTCACCAGGAAATGGCTGTCAGGATGAGCAGGATGGCTTGGGCTGGGTTTAGTCCTGAAATCGAACTTGAGATTAGCCCCAGCTCACTGAGATGTGACTTTCCAGGTGACGCACACCCCGTCATACCAGAAGCAATAATGCAGCAGCCCTGCTGTCCTATGGCATCTCGCACTAGTGGGATCCCTGTGGGCTGAAACAATGGACAGTGAGGGAGCAGACCAAGTTCTTGGAGAAAGGAGAGGAGGTGTAATCCAGAGAGCAAATAATATGACCCAAATTATTAACTCTGGGATGCTAACAACTAGGGAGCGCAGGCTCTCGCTAAGGACTCTAAAGGAAAGAGTTTCTCTGGTTTGATCTTGTTTTATCTCATCCTTTTCCCAGGAAGAGGTGGGACTCTCCATAACCAAACAGTGTAAGCTGAAACTGTATTCTGCTTGGAAGTTTTTCTGGAACAGTGCAAACCATCTATGAGCACTGCCACTCAGCTGGCAGGCATCCCATGCACTCTACCAGCCCAGAGAACCCTGCAGAGAGTGCCAGAAAATGCACGACTAGTGCTTCACAGCATGGCCACATGTTAAACACTTCATGTCCCGCCTACAGGGCAATCCAGCAAAGACTATGTTACAAAGTCCAGAAAACAAGGCAGAGATTAAAGCCCCTGAAGGCCTAGGGAATTCCAGATGTAGTCCTAGATGAAAGGAACATGCTGAATCAGAGATATACAGGGTTCCTCTGGGACAGAGAGAGGTGGCTGGGTTGCAGAGGAAACATCACAAGGCTGCTAGGTCTGTACAGAGCCTGAGGAAGGGATTCACACCTACCTCAGATGCAGAAGACATTATAATTAGCCAGGGCCTGCTCCTCTGCAACAAGACAGGAGAGACCTAAGTTATCCTTGCACAGAGGCAAATGCAAACACTCAGACAGCCCTGGCACCCCATCTCCCCTGGGTTCCACACTCACCTGGATGGTAGTAGTCATAGACCCTGACATGGCCTGGCTTCAGGTTGGTCACCCCAATCTCCCGCTCCAGATGCAAGACATATGTCTCAGATTTATGGCTCAGCTGGGGAAGAAGAGCAAATGATACTTCACTTACAAGCTCTTCTCTTTATTCCTCACCTAAATTTGATCCTACTGATCAGCAATAACAACTCTGTGGAGTCAAAGGCAGGACTTCAAGATGAATCTTCAATAACCTGCTCTGCTAGCCCAGTCCTGGATGCCCCACACAACTCTGCCACTGTCCTCCACTCCTGCAGCTTCTCTAGTAGCACGCATATACCTTGTCCAAGTAGATGGCAACACCTCCTTTTGTTTTCTCAGTTCTTCTCACAGGGTGCCAATGCTGCAGCTAGGACAGGAGAGCAGAGGAAGCAATTTAGTTGCGTCTTTTGAAAAGCAAGTGTGAGACATCCCAACAAAGTTTATCTAAGGTTGAGTGAGCAGGTTCTCATTCACTCACTTCCAGACTTATTCTGGGCTCTCAGCCCTTCAGGCTGATCTCCCTGCAGGGCCACTCAGCTCCTGCAAAACCCAAGGACAGGAACCTAGGCTACTTAGCTGTCAAGGATATGCTGAGTGAATTGGGTCAGAAGGATCACCATCCTCATGGCACAATGAGAGAGCCAACAGTACATGTTCACGTTTGATGTGTGGCAGAGGGGAAGGGATGGTGAGATTGCTCAAGAGACAGGCAACACCTTGCTATGCAACCTCCCCCTCTCCTTGGGCATGGATGGTCCCACAGACACCACACCACCATCTGATTCCAGGCTTCTTACAGACATCCCAGATCCTGGAGCCAGGACGAATCCAGACAGTAGGGACACCTCCACGATCACCATGCTGGAAGTGGATCTCTTCCCAGTGTACCTGGGCGAGAAGATCAAAAAGAGTCTCTCTCAGCTTCCCCCACACACACACACCATATCCTGTGTGCAGGACCCTGAGCCAGGCAGCCCAGCCAGTACCGGGGCCAGGGCAGTCACTGCTCTCTCTCACAGGTGGCAGATGATGGCTGCATTGCTCTGAGCATCCCCAACCTGAACTCACTACTTGCACTCCTCTCCCTAGCAGGAACCAAAGCCCTCAGAAACATTTCCCCTTCCCCCAAGACACTTGTATCTTTCTTTCTCCATCTTGACCTTCTGCTGAAACTGCCTGGTACCTCCATTGCAGCCACGAAGTACCCCTCAGCCATGCCTGGCTTTCCTTCCCAAGTGGAGCTGTGTCTTTAGAGTCACCTGACATTGACATAGACAGTAACAGAGTGTGTATCAGCATCGGTGCAATTGGCTGGCTCGGTTTTCACTCGCAAGGCAAAGGATGTGGAAACCTGTGTGGAGGGCGTGTTGTACCTCAGCACCATCTGCAGAGAGAGACGAAAAGACAGAATAAGACATGGATAATTAGTTCAACATCATCTATCATACCTTTTTTTCACTATTCTAATCCTCAAGATTAGACTCCAGACAGTGACTGAATAAACCATACACCACGAGCACACTCATCCCAGTACCTAAAATAAAGGTCATTCAGATTGGAAACATTCCATGATCCTTCCAGCTGGGGCTCCTTCTCCTCACCCTTCTCCTTGAAACTGTGCAAGTCAGGCACACAGCAGTGCAACCACTATACAACACTTCCATCCTCCAATACCCTGAGAGCCATGGAAGCACCACTGTCCTCACATTTGGACACGTTCTGTCTCTGAGTCTCCTACAGCACACAGGTTTATTGCATTGGCAACAGGCTGGGATTAAAGATCAGTTAATGCACATTTCCTTGCTTAGAGCTGCAACGGAGGCTTTTGGTTTTTGTAAGATAATGAGCAGAGGGTTGTCACAGCAGAGTCTGCAAGAACCTACCCGGGTAAAGACACAACAGCTCCCGTGGGCCTGCACCGAGAACTTTCCTGGGACTTCTGTCAGTGCTGCCTCCTGCACCAATAGCCGGTTCCGGTAGGAGACTTGGAACTTCCTCCGAAAGCCTCTCTGGGACCTCACCCTCACTTCTGCAACCCCTTTTGTGCTGTATGTCAGTGCTGCATACTTCGCCAAGGCCTGCAAGGCAACTACTGTGTCCTAAAATGGAAGAAACAATTACATTTGCAGCTCTGAGACCCAAAGACACTTGAACTCGCTGTCCTGAGGACCTCCATGTACAAAGGCTCCTTTCCTCAAAGCGTTCACACTTGCATAAATTGTGCCTAGATTGTGCAGAGGTTCTTTCTCAAGCAACATCACCTTCCCTGGCCACGAGTTACCTGTGTTGAAGCAAACCCTCCATAGGCATTCTGCTGCCTGGTGAGCCAGGTGACGATGCCAGAGGCTGTGGTGAGATCAGAGCCTGTGACATTTGGCTTGGAAAGCAGGGCCAGGAGAACATAGGCTGTCAACTCCACATCCATAGACAGTGGCTGTGACCAAGGGCTGGTGCTGGGTCTGGGCTTGGATGAGGTCTGACTCCAGTGGATCTGCCCACCTGGGAAAGGAAGGGAGTAGATGGCATTAAGAAAGAAATCCTGAGGCCTGGGAGGTACAGTGGCTTGTGTCTGCAAAGATGACTGAGTAAATGCCTCTTGGCTGGGTCATTATGTCACTGGGTGAACTGCAATCCCAATATTTTGCAATACCTAACACTCTATATTACACACTGAGGCGATATACAAAAACTAATATGCCAATAACCTGCATACACAGTACCTCCCAGACATCCACCTTCTCCATTGTCCTGTTTGTCAGGTCTACTAACTACCTGATACTAGCTAGCTACCCACCAGCCAGTCCTGGGGGTCAGGGACTAACAAGAAGCGGGGCAGCTTGCCAGCTTGCTTCCCTCTCTGGTGCTTTGCACTCCTGCATAAGAAAGCCCACTTCTCTTGGAGCCCAATCTCCACTTTGGGTACCAGAAAAGGATGATAGGGTTGAAGGAGATCAGCACCCACACCGCAGCATTGCCAGCACATACCTTGAGTTGTAGACTGGCTGTCTGAAAACTCTCTTTAGTGAAGGACTTAAAAGGCTGTGGTCCTTCCAAGGTTGCATGTAACCAAGGGCTCAGAAAGGTCACTTGTCCCTTCTCTGATATTCACCTGGCACTGAGGTTCCCGTACCTGCTCTGATTGCCTTTTGATCAAGCATATCAAGTAGCTCCTGTGTGCGTTGAGAGTCCTTAGCCAGGGCAAAGGTGTAGGCCAGCAGGGCCTGGGTGTAAGTGCTGGCAGCTTCGGGAAGGGAAGGAGCGATGCAGCCCAGAGCTTTGCGCACCACAGTACTCTACAGAGAAGAGTTACACGGGTGTTGGTCACACACAAAGACACAAGGCAGGCAAACACCGAGGTACACAAGCAGAAGGATGCGCAGAAGGATGCATTAGCACAGAAAGCACCCCACACATTCCCTCAGGTGTCTCTGTGCTCGAGCCCGCACTCTTTGTATCAGTGCAGCACCAGTAAGCAGTGTCTCCAGCCCCTGGTGCAAGGTGCTTGACAGACCGTCCCAAGCTCGTCATGGGTTTCAGCAGTGCGCTCTCAATGAAGTGAATGCCTTACTGCTGGAATAACACCACCAGACCTTACTTTCCAAGTCTGAACACAAGAGCAACAATGCACAATTGCAAATGCTTACACCCAGCCTGCTAACCAAGATTACTATGTTCAATTCACCTCTACAGTGCCTTACAAGGTCGCTGGGATTTCCATTTTCACCTGGAACACCCGTACTGCTGTTGGGAGGAGGCAGCAAACCCACTGGTCTCAGCAACATTGTGTTCCAGCATTCAGCTATGCTATTCCAAACATAAGCCAAAAGCTTGCAGTGGTTGTGTGCATCTACAGCACTTTGTGGTTTCTCCTCTTCCAGTGGCCTCTTGGCTATAAGGATCACAAAAGGGCTACATTTGAGATTTATTCTGACATGTGACATGCTCTTCACTTCTTTCCCTTAGGGGAAAGAGAAAAAGGTTATGGCAGTGTCATCTTTGTGCTCACTAGATGGTGAAGTAGTATTGCTGGATGAAGTCACCAATTCTCAGAAATGCTCATACTATCTACTCATGGAGTACCAGAAGTTCCCAGGATCTAACTGATGCTTTTTGGTTGCTCTCTCTTGTTGAAGCCCAGCAGAAGCAGTAAGCTAAGCTCCCATCATTTCAGAAGTCCTACTTTTCTATTTGCCCTTAAATATAATAACTGCAAGGAGCACAGTAACCTTTGTAACTGAACAGACCTAAGTAGAATTACATTTGTGAATTTGTTCAGAGGCTCCTTTATTACTCCTTTTCCTTCTTAAACGTCTCACTTTCTGAGATAGTTAAAATGGAGGTAACAGCACTAGTCTTTGTAGAACTACCAAACTTCAAGTGAAAAACACTTCACGTACCACCTGTGAAGTGCTGACTGTTATCATACATCTTAATACTTTGTCTAGGAACAGCCTGACACGTATTGTAACTCATCTGGCTCTGGTGTCTTCTGGTGAAACTAACACAAGAACTGAGTGCGCCACTCTATTGGAAGTGTTTTCACACTTACTGTGCTCATCCTGGTGTTGACAATAGCAGTCCTAAGTGCATTTAGCTTCCATGGGAGCAGTTACGTGCCAGCTAAGAAACTGCTACTCTACGTCATTTGTTTCTGCAGTCAACATAAACAATCTGTTTTGTTCCGAGAGATCAATTTCCAACACAGAGTGGGTGTAGAGAGCTGTTTGTATCTGTCTAGATTTTTTGTCATGTAAACCATGGTTTAAGGTAAGTAAGTTCATTCAGGACAGTGTAAAATATCTCCAAGCTCTTTCCTTGCATTTTAACTCCTAATGACTTTTACAAGCCTTTTAGGTATGCTTGTAAGGGAAAGTAGGGTCTGTTCTGAACATCATGAGTGCATTAGCAGGACATCCTCAAACTCTCAGAATTTTCACCTGCAGTGATTGCGTATTCTTTGTAAAAACATTTAGAACACATTCAAGCACACTCTTTTCCTGGGTGCTATGGTGTGCTTTGTGTTTCCCACTTCATCTACCTACAGACCTACTCAGCAAATTCCTTCACTGGGGCTAGGATAACTACTGTGAGACTTGTATTTTTACCTATTTGTTGGTACTTTTGAGTGCCTTCCATTATCAATCACAAGCATTTTTTTTGCAAGCAATGGTTTATGCATGTATGTCCAATTGAATCACTGTATGCTTACTTTCACATCAACAAACCTGTTTCTGCAACAAATCATTCCTCACTCCATGGACAATCCTTTCTGAGCTACTACTGTTGTCATCTTCTCTGGAACATTAGGAATCCCATGAGGTCTCCTACCCTGTGGTAGCCTAAATTTTCTATCATCACCACTATCAGGGCACTAAGTCACCCTCTGTGGATTCATTCAGGACAGAGTGGCTTCCACTAGCTCATCATGCAAATTGCTTTGAGGTCCTGTTTGTCTCCCTTTCAGGGTTTTACTCAGGGATTTGGAGCACAGTCTGGTCTCTTCTCAGTAATTCTTTGCTTTCCTTCCCAAATGACAAAACTGGTTCCTAAGACCTACAACAAACTCTATGTTAATTTTATACCAGGATGAAGGTCCTTTTGTTTCATTCTTGTCCTTTTGTTTCATTCTGCTGCAGAGCACAGTACATGTCAAATATTTGTCATCCAGTTTCATGAAAAGCCTCCTTGATGAAAGTCAGCCAAAACTCAGACAGTTCATAGAATTACCAAATGATAGAATAATTCAGATTGGGAGGGACCTCTGAAGGTCTCTAATCCAACCTCCTGTTCAAAGCAGGGTTAGCTATGAGATTAGACCAGGTTGCTCAGGGTTTTAACCAGTTGAAAACCTTCAATGACAGAGACAACTAAACCTCTCTAGGCAACCTGTTTCAACACTTAATTGTCCTTGTCGTGAAAAAAAGGTGACCTGAAGGACATCTGTTACCAGAAAGAATGTTATTTTCCATCTGTCTTCCTTTTTTTCCCTAAGCCCTTGCTTTCAGTTGCAGTGAAAAGCACTGCTCTTTCACATTTTTAATTTCTGGAGAATTTTGCTTCTCAAAGTCTATAGCAATAGCATTTCTGCATCAAGTTGACTATATTTTTTTAACTGCCAGTACCACAGAGTAATTAGTTATGATCTTTAGCACATGTAAGAATTCCCTCTTGTTATTACTTAGGTGTGCAATTACAGCTGTCCTACTTCACATTTATCTCCCTACAGCACTCCATTCCCAGACTTCCACTTTCTGGGAAGCTAAAACACATTAAAAATGTCATTATGGCTCTTTACTTAACTGTGGGAGCAGCTACACTGACCTCTCCTCTGTAACAACTCACACTAGCTCTCAGCTGTGTGTAGTACAAGGGGGCAGGAGAATGGAGGAAGGGGAGCAACAGTAAGCAACCAAAGCCTGGGAAATGGGCATAATATCTAGCCATGAACTCCAGTGGCTCCCTACAGTCTAAACTCACCTTCTCCTCTGTCAGCAATGTCCTCCGCAAGGGATAGTTGAGGCTTTTTCCTGAGAAGTGTTAAGTTCTTCCTCCCCCACCCTATCACTTTGTCCACAAACCTCTCCAAGACATTCTGTTGTCTGCTTCAGTGACGCAACTAAGCTCTTCAGGGTTCAGATCTTAAGGCAAAATCATGGCAAAGAATCCCAATATTTACCTCTGGTGTCTCTCCTGCCTCCAAGTATGCAGCAGTGATGTAGGCAGCCAAGGGGACTTCCCCATCCACACCTCCCTACAAAAAGCATAAACACCCAAAAAGCTGGTAAAGTTAATACACAAACACCTGAAGCTTTTCAGTAAAGGTCTTACCTATCCCTGGCTTGCTCCCGCACAAGAAAGCGGAACCATACAGGAAAGTGAACTAAACAATCACCAGTATACTTAGCAAGAACTGCTTTGAGTTGTCCTTCAAGGTGCTCCGGTTCCTACCTTCATGGCTGTGTGGAAAAGTTGGCCCACATTTCTGAAGCAACCATTGGGAAGCTGGTGGAACTCCAGCCAGGTGAGAGCAGCTTGGATGATCCTGTTGTCCAGGAAAATGTAAGACTTGGCTTGGACAAAGCATTTAACCACAAATGCAGTCAGCCTGGTTGAGAGAGAACAGAAAAAAAGGCATGAGAGGGAAGAAAGAAGCAGAAAGAGATGGAGTCAATGAGAGGGAAGGATGAGTGGAAAGAAAGAATCTAAGCAGAAATTGAGGGGGAAAAAAAAAGTGGGAATTTAAAACTGGTGGGTCTTTCCTCACCTATTGTTCTGCTATTCCTTATTTGCTGGTCCGAGGACAGTTCGTCCCAAGGACAGCTGCACGCCTGTGGGATGCCCTAGCTCACAAAGCATCTGGTACACTTTGGGTCCAATAGGATGGAAGGGATTCAAGAAGCAGAAAGCTGCCCACCTCCAGGCTGTCAGACAGTAGGTAGACATCAGAGAGCGAGCCAAGAACTTACCAAGTGTTACCATACTCATCCTTGGTACCAAATTCACTGTAGGAACCATCAGGGTGTTGATACTGCAGCTGTATCTGATACCCTGGGAAGCAGGATAGGACATTAGTGCTCAGAATAGTTTTTGCAGTGAGGTCACTTTGCAGGGAATGAATGGGGTGGTGTTAACATTATAAGTGGTTGAGCGCTCGGGGGGGAAGGGGAGTAGGCAACCACTGGTAGGTTGGACACAGGGGAAGGCAGAGGAGCAAGGTGGGTCTGTTGTCCTTGCCATTGCGCAGGAATCCTGTTGCCCTCTCCTTGATCTCAGGGGTCAGCTGCCTTGTCTTCTCCAGGTACTGCAGCACATAGACAATGGGGGCAAACAGCACCATGTTCTGCTCCCCACAGCCGTGAGGCATCTGCACCAGGTGGTCCAGGTTCTGCAGTGCCGTCCCCAGGAGGTCACCTAGAACAGAGCACAGGCACCCTGACCACCACCTGGGCAGGAGGTTTGGGGATTCATCTCCTACCTGTGACCCGTTCCCAGCAGTGCATCAGGCAAGGTAGCCCCTGCACAGCAGTCTGGGGACACCTCTGTCCAGCCAGCTTATCAGTTCCACTGTACCCTCCACACAGGGGAGTTCTGGGTTTGGGCCTTCCTAGGGCTAAACTCAGAGATATGGGATTTGGAAAGGTATTATCATAGTTGAGTTCCTTACCCGTGACGGAGAGGGTGGCTCTGACTGAACCTTCAACCACATTTAGAGGCAACATCAGGGACACAGACTCCTGTGCTGGATTCCCTGACACCAGCAGGGTAAGGTGTGTGGGGAGGATAAAAAGAAAAAGATTCTGATGAAAACAGCCTTCAAAATCCCCAGAGACTGTTCAAGACTGTTCTGTGCTAACATCGCATTTTCCTGTCACAGAGGTTGCAGATGACCTCAAAACCCCTGTCCCATTCCACCCTCAACTCCCTCCATCAACTTCATTGTGACTGCGGTATCCTAACAGCCTTCCTTCTAAAGAGCCTCAGAGGATCTTCTCCTGGAAACCCTCTGTGGTCAAAGCCACCTTCTTGCTTTTCTTTACAAAAGTTACTCCATCTCATTTCAGATTTCAGTTGCAGGTATGTCTTCTCAATGCACCTCATGCTCTCAAAATCTGCTAATGGTCCTGTCATACACCATAAAATTCAAGACAGGAGCAGCAATCCTAAATCATGACCTCCAGCCTCGCCATGTACAGAAGACTGGTTTTATTACCACAGGTGAAAAAGGACTCAAGCTATCACCTTAGTATCAGGGGTGCTGATGCTAAAAGATTGGACCTTACATCTTACCCAGGGGAAGCTCTAGCTGGCACCACAATTAGAGTATGCTTCTGTAGCTTGGTCGTGTTGATGGAGAAAATATTTCAGCAAGTGGAAAGAACCAGGAGGTGGTTAGGCAGAAAGCAGGGGATGAGCAGGGTGAAAAAAGAAAATAATCTACCTTTTTTGGGACACAGGATGGAGCTGTGAGCCTTTTCTACCAACACTCCCTCTGGCTGTTGGAGCACATAAAAGTAGCATTATAATGATTGCACAGGAGATAAACATGATTACAAGTGGATTAGAAATAGATACGGGCAAAATCCTGATTCAGACTGGAGAGTCGTAACATCACTATCACATAAAAATGTAAATTATTGTCAATCGTTTTCATTTCAGATAAGAAAACATATCATAACTTCTGAATGCCTGTGAAACTGATTCTGTAAGAATCTGTAAGATTCAGAAGAGAGCTCAGGAACAAGGACATAAAAAAGTGTGCATATTTAAATTTTCCATGGTATGAAGTGGAGGATACCCCTCTACCTCCCACATCCATCAGCCCTCATGGTCAGGCCCAGCTCAGGCCCTGAGATTCTAATTATACGCCTTTAATAGCAAGGGCTAACTCTCAAAATTAACCCGCACAAAATCTGGGAATTGCACAAAGCCCACTTTTAGGTCTGGGTAACAGAAGATTTTATCTGACCCGGACAAGAAGGAGTTTGGTGATCGTGTCCTTCTGTCCTTGGTTTGGGACAAATGGTATCTCTTCACCACAGAGCTCTTTGGTGGCCACAGCCTCTGTGGTGAGGGTGATGTTCGCGAGCCCTGAAAATAACACACAATTAGGTACATAAAACATCTTCTGAGGAAGCACTTCCCAGTAATACAACAGAAGTCACCTGTTGACAACAACAAAGTGGGTCAGAGCCCTACATGATTCTGTACCTGCTAGCATAGACTGGCAAGTAATCATGACCTTAGGATGAATGCAAACAAGCACTCTGGTTAACAGGGCAAACAACTCCTCTCTCCATGTCGACTCCTTTAAAACATGCCCACCTTGGTCCCATCCCTTCTAAAATCCACCACCCCGCCTCCCTGTTCTTCTCACCTAGTTGCTCAGCTGTGACAGTCCACTGAAAGGTCTTGTCTTCATTGGCACATAAGCAGCTGTTGTAGACACAGCCTTTGCATGGCTTCAGCTGGAAGTGTGTAAGCTCCTTCAAGGTCACTTGGATCTGAAGGGGCAGCAGGGGTGGCAGGCGGTAACATGATAAACATCACAGGCCATAGATTTCAGCCATCTCCTACCTACCCATACCCTGCTTTTCTTGCAGAGCCTATCAGGGCTCACCTACCTTCATGCATCGCTGCAGGTAATTGAAGACTATGGCCTTCAAGATGAAGGTCTCACCCTGGATCACAGAAGATGGCAGTGTGAGCTCCACAAGAAAGGGCTTGAAAACAAGCAGGCTGGAGGTTGGAGCAAGTCCAAAGCCGTTACGTCCTGTGCAGAACATCCCTGCTTTCCATTCTGTGATGGTGTTAGGCACAGTAACAGTTTTTCCTGCTCCCACTGGGACTGAGAAGTAGACAGCAACAGAAGCATTTAACTGAATCTTGCTGTACGCAGCACCAGGTGACCTAGTCTGTGCCACTCTCTCCAGTGCACCCCATCCCCTAAATTCAGTCTAACCTCTAACCTCTGCTGAACTTGTAGCCCTTGCAGGGTTACAAGTAGGTGCTTGTAGAAGTAGGGACGCCTGCCTCAGATGCTTATATCAGCAGAACATTTTTGACAATAGGTTACATGGCTGCACGATGCCGTCAATCACACTCAGTGCTTTTCTCAGACAGCACTTGCCCTGTGCACATCTAAAAATGCTTTACAGATGTTCAGCAGTTTTATTCTTCTTGGCCTAGGGATGGACAGCCAGATACCAGAAGAGCAACAAGACTGGCTCAGCATCAGTCGAACTCAGCAGAAGAAACAGATCCAGCCATTCACCTTCCTGTGCAACACTGACAGCTTAAAGTCCAACATGAAGACAGGGCAGAGACTTGGCTTGTGCCCACATCACAACTTCTGAAAGCAGCAGACTGTTCTGTGGCTGCTACCACAGCAGACAAAACCAGCCCTAGCTAAAACTAATTATATTATTTGACTCCAATAACTGGGGACATTTGCTTTTGCCAGGCACATACAGGAAGGCAACGCATACAACACAGAGACCTTTGGTTGCACAGATTGGTCTGGTGGATAAATCACAAAGGAGATACCTGGTGCTAGGGAGTGAAGGGATGAATGTAGCTGGAAGGACAGTGAAGGTGGGAGAGGACAGATAGGGGGGCATCTGGCCTGAGCAGACTCCAGACTCCAATCTCCAGACAAGGAATTCTTGAAGTCAGAGATGAAAAATCTCCAAAAGCTCCCTCAGCAGACCCTGTGTACTCAATGAACCCTTCTCATAGGACACAACTCCTAGTCCTGTTACAGACTTCTGTGTAGATCAGCTTCCCCTGCATCCCAGAATACATCCTGTGAGCACAGTTTGGGAAATGCCAGCCCACAGGGCTACCACAAGCAGAGTGTAGGCAGTAAACCAAGCTGTTGTGCTGCACCACAGCTGCTTTCCTATCTTCCCACCTCCCATGGATGGACTTTACTTCTGTATGATCATCTAGTACCAGAAAATGCATTTGATGCAGACATCAGCTCCGATGAGAAACAACCTGACAGGTATGAGCCCCATGACATACGTCCTTAGACATCTTCCTCAGCAGCCAATGGTCTAAACTGAGTATCTGCTGCCATTCCCAGTCACACTAAGCCACCCAGACCAGACCCCACTGCTCAGTTTACTCACCCCACAGAATACAAATCCCATATCCAGGTTTTGGGGAAGTGCTTGTGGACTTTCTCGTCAGCTGAAGAAACAGGTGAAAACATAGTAGGCTGATAGGTAGATGTGGTCAGATGCTCCACTGGAAATAACAAAGACCCAGTCACCACAGGGTCCTCAGGCCCTGGTTTAGAGCAGAGGGGCCCCAGCCCAGCTCAGGCTGCAGGTCAGCCAGTCAGCTCTTGGGAAGGACAGCACTGGAACCAAAGGTGCTATCCCAAATTTTAAAGTTTCTTGCCTCATTTCAAACAGTAGAGGTGCTGTGGGCCTTACTTGCATTTGTAGGCACCAAGGGAAGGGCAACCATTCCCTCACCTCAGAGGTAAGACTTGGGATCCAGACAGCTGACTAACATTTCAGAGCCTGAAGCCATGAGCCCCAAGCAGCCTCACACTAGCACAACAGGTTTAGAGACAGGAAACACTCTCGCTCCTCCATTTGCAATTACAGCAAGTACTGCCTCTCAGCTCAAACCTGGGATTGCTTTCACATGAAAGACTGAGCATCCCATGTAAGAAGAAACAGTTGGCAAATGCTTACTGTTATGTGTTTTATGGGGCTGTGTGAACATCCACATGGACCTGGAAGTAAACATTACTGTTTCCTGCAGCATAGTTGTTGATGGAGTGGTTGGACACACTCTGGGTTTCCTGATGTTGGTGTTGGACATAATTTTCAACCCCATTTCCTGTAGGAAATAAAAGAACTGATGCACCAGAAGCTTGTCCTCTCCTCTCTGCTCTCTACCCTGTGCCTTCTTGTCCTCTCACGCAGTGGGGACTTGGCTGTCCTCTGGCTTGGCAAAGCATTCTCTTGCTTCATTGAAAAGGGAATTATTCAGATTCTCAGCAACGGGCAAACAAGGTTTTCTGAGCTAATTCATCTGGCCTGAGTCAGACAAATTTATTCTTTTTCAAACACATGGTCATTTAGGTACTATGCCTTCTCAGCCCGCAGAGTGCAATTGCTCATGCTATGGAGATTAAGCATACTATGTGAAATTCAATTAAAGCAACCAATCATCCTTGGCATCCTGAATCACACAACCAAAGCGCAGTAACCGCACAAAAAATTATTCTTGGTCAACAATTTCAAGTCACTTATTCAAATAACAAGTGAGTTACAAGGGCCTAAACTGGGCCTGTTCCCTGTACTGTATGTAACAGCGTTCCTAGGATATTGGTAGTCAGAGGGCCACACTTCCCTCAATTCATGAATTATCCCAACTCATCAAATTAACCATTTTTACCCTGAATGCTGTAAACACATCAGGCTCATCAGAATTTGGGAACCCGCATGAATGATCATCTTCAGACACTTGGCGAGGATACCTGGAGTTATAAACAGATGGGAACAGCCCATAGATCTGGGAAAAGAAAAGAAAAAGCAAAAAAAAAAAAAATCAGCACAAATAAAACCTGGCATTTCCTTCCTGCCGTACATCCAAGCCTGTTTGAATTGTTCCTGGCTACCGTGCATGAACGCATTCCAGAAAGCCCAGGCTCACTGTCACTTTTTCCTGGCTCTCCTCTAATAGAGCTGGCACAACCTGCTGAATTGAACAGGAGGCAGAACAACAGAAGCTCATTTACCACCGGTGCTCTGAGTGATGTTCAGCCTCTTTCTTAATGCATGCCCCCTAATCCTTACCCATGCCACACTGGGAGCGCTGCTGATCCTTTTGGGCAGTGCTTTGAGTTCCTTGGGAGGTAAGCTCTGCACAGATGCAACGGCCTGTCTGTCTGCCTCCCTCCTCATGTCAGTACAAGGGAAGGGAAGAAGTTGGAGCAGGCTCACTCACCAAGGAGGTGCTGAGCTCTTCTCCTGGCTTCAGCTGTAGGACACTCTGATCCACAGCCCAGACAGCACACGTGGACCCAGGAGCTGCCAGAAGGTGGAGACCAACCTCTGAATCAGGAAGGATCTGGGGCGTTGAGAAGCCCAGCTCCACCTGGATGGGAAGAATGCAAGCAATAGTTAAGTGACATTTCTGCTGCTGGCCACCATACCACTTCCTGAGCAGTGAAGGAACCTACATGAAGAGAGTTTCCATCCTAGGCAAGTCCTTGGAACTTGCCTTGGATGAAAACCTGAGGAATCTCCCACAGACCCCCCTGAAGGTATTTAAAAAAACATCACATTGACGTTCTAACAGGAAAGATGGCAGAGGGGCAACCATCAGTGTGTGCAGCTAACAGTACTGGAGACATTCCTGTGTCAGAACACAGCGTGCTCTTTACCCAGCAAACCAGCCAGCCATGATTACACACCTCACACAGCTGACTTTCTGCTCCTTTTGGAGCCCCAGATCAAAAATAAGCTTAGTCCTTATCTCCAGGCTCTTTGTGGGGTTGGACTTAGTTTCCTGAAGTGCTTCCTGTTCTTGCTTGAATCTGACTGTCCATGGCAGATAAACAGCTGTAGAGCAGGGCTAGTGCCAGTCCTCAGAAGTTCATCTTTGGAGTACAAGACACAACCAAGACAGCAGATTGCCATGGATGTCACAGTGACCACAAGTGCTCAGCCCTTTCTGGATGGCCAGTAAAATGGACTTCTTCCATCGGCCACTTTCAGCTGTCTTCCCAACACCACATACTAATGAGCGTAAGTGTCTGCTGCAGCAGCAGAGCAGCCTTGAGCTCTCCCAGGAATCACACCAATAACCTGTGCTGGGTTACTGTGATCCTACCACGTTGCAGTTGCTATACAAGCCTATGGAGACAGACACAGCAATTCTCTGCCTTTCCCAAACATTGCAGCAGTCCCCACAATGCTCAACATGTACTTGCTCCATACATCACAGCACGCTTTACCATTCACATACTGTAGTTCACGTGACAGCATCCCACACAGTATCAGCCACACACAGCTACACATATTATGTACTCCTCAGTCTCTTCTTTCATTACAGCAGACACATACACTCTCACACATTTAGTCATGGCCCCAGACACAAATCCTACCTTATTTCTGAAACACATGGAGACACTGAAGATGGCAGAATCAGCAATGATTTTTCCATTAGGGAAGATAACATAAACAACAAGTCTTGGAGCTGGGGCATCAATCAAGCTGAAGGTAAGAGGGATGGAGAAGAACCCTTTCAGCACTAGATGGAGGAGAGAGGGAAGAAGGGAAAATAGATTTGGTAGTGAAAATGTACTCTGATCAGCTTTTGCCATTCTGCATGTGCCTGTAATTCTTTTCCTCAAGTCTTTCAGGACCAAGGAGATTTCTGGAGACCACTGAAACAATCAGCACATCTCTGGATCTGGTATTCAAGGCCAGCAAAAGACTTCCTGGTTCTGTCCATTGCCTCCAGGACATGAAACAGCTCTTTGGAGTTCAAGCTTAGCTCCACAAAGAGTGAGAGTCTCAGATAACTTTCAAAGCCTCCCATCACCAAACGTCTCCCATCCCATCACCAACAAAGAGGTGACCTTTATTCCAAAGTACTTATTATTTAGGCTTTAAAAAAAAAAAAAAAAAAAAAAAGAAAAAGAGCTGGAGAAGTAGATAACAGTGAGTCAACACCCATCAAACTGATAAGGTGTGGCATCCTAACTACTCAAAGATTATTTTTAGACACAGTTGCAAATTAAAGCAGGAGAGTTTTGATAGAGGGTAAGGCTTTAGTTTCATGCTGCTTGCAGGGGCAGCAAAAGGAGACTTCTTTGAAGATGAAGAAAACAGAGGATGAGCCTGTGGGCTGGGAAATGCTGAATATTATTCTCTAAGTACCAAGCAGGAGGGTAAAGGAAACATGAAAGCTGGAAAGGCACGCTGCTTGATGCAACAAAAAAGTGGTGAGCCAGCTCTAAATTGCAAAGAGGCTTATGCCACATCCAGACAAGACAGGACACCACAGACCACCGAGTGCTTGCTAGACATGAAACAGCAGAGTGCACTTACTTCTTGGCAGCCCAACCCAAACAGTCTTCTGACCTGCATGGACTATCCCTCTTTTCCCTGTGAGCTAGGGAAGAATACAGAAAAGGAAAGGAATACCAGTTACATAGTCTTTGAGACCACTGTGCACATCAAAGTAACCCTGAAATTGGAGATTAAATGGGGGCAGGTAGAGGGATATGCGCATTACTCACTCTCAGGTAGCAGGGAGAGCTCAGGGGATCAAGAGACTTGGGGGAGGACAGGTAAGGCCAATACCTGCCCTGCACCTGTGCATAGCCCAGAAGAAATGTGCTGCCTTTCTTGCTATTACAGCAGCCCCAGGATCGAAACCAGGATCCAGCCCCATGATGGTGGGATGAGCTGCCTGTCCTGGGCTGAGCCAAATCTATCACATGTCAGGCTTGAATCTGTAGGAGATGCTGATCTTGTGCCTTGAGCCATCACCCACCAGCACTTCCCCAGAAACTCACAAAGTATGAGAAAATGACACGTTTGGGCCCATGTTCCAGGTCCTCCTGGTAAATCCTGAAATCCACCTGGACAGCCTGCTTTTTACCACAAGGCATTGTTTTCGGCACACGGACAATAGAGAGAAAACTCCTGCTCGTGCTGTAGAATGGATGTATGAAATGAGAGGCTCGCTGGTAACTCAAATCAACTGTCCCAGGCTCTTTATCCAAATCTTGATGCAGGACACTTGCCTGGTGAGACAAAACAAAACCCATGGTTAATTTCTCTAGTTAAGCAAGTCAGCTGCAAATCACCCCAGCTGCAGCTTGGTAAGAAGCTCAGATCAGGTCTGAGCAACACCATAGCACAGGTCTCTGTGTGGAGAGTTCATGAGGAATGCAACTGGGATCCAGAGAATAAGCTCTCAGAGGAAGCTAAGATCCAGAACATGGTGAGGTGTTTCAGGTTTGAATTACTGTCCTTCAAGAAGGAACAGGAGAGATGTCTGCAGAGCAGTAAATAGCTCTGAGATGCATGTATACCCCTGCCAAAAAGACAGACCCTTCCTCACTTACCTCCAGGGAGGCCAAGGTGCTGTTCCAAGCAGTTGTGTTCAGGCTAAATGAAGCTGTCCCAGAGTCCCCAGTGATGTACATCTGCTTAAATTGCTGCTCACCACAGCTTACTACGAGGAGGATTTTTTTGTGCTTCAGTGCCTTGCCTTGGTAGTCAATGACTTTAATCTGAGAGCAAGAGAAGTGCAAAAGAGTCTAATCAGCAGACAGAATCTCCTGCTTCTCCGAGTCAGGAGTGGCATTTCCAAAGACAGCAAGGTCACCCTTCCAGTTACCAACAACATTACCAACACTGCTGCTGGTCACCTCCTATTATCACTTGCACTGCCGTGTTCATTCACCCCTGTGCTCTCTACCCCTTCACAGCAGAAGGCCTCCCGGCTGCTGAAATTCCAAATGTTTGGGTTTGCACCCCACATATGGATCCTCATACCTACTACTACTCGAGGCATATTTGGCAAATGGCAGTCTTGGGGTTTTTTTCCTCCCTTTTGACAATTCAAGAGTTTTGTCTCTGGGAGTCATTCATGCCCTCCCAAGCCCCTGGCTGGAGGTGAGGTCAGACAAGACGCTAGGTAACAGTCACTGTGAAGGCATTGCTCACCATCTCCCCTCCAAAGGACTGTAACTGGGAATTACCTTCCCCCTGTACATCTCTCCAGTGTGGTAGTAAGAATTCACATCACCAAACAAGGCCATCCCGCCAGTCTTGGAGATGAGTAATTTGTGGGAAGCATTGACGTGTATCTCTGAATGAAAGCAGCAAGACAGAAACATAAGGGAGGGAGCAAGGAAGCCAAGCACCCCTCAGCAATTTCCCTGCAGAGTGACCCACTGGCAATACTGATGCAGATGTTCAGCTGAACACGTTTCATACCATGGAGATGATCTGCCCAGGGCTCTGAGTACCTAGTCTTCCTCCCACTTACTTCTAGCCCTTAGAGAGGTTCCTAAACTTCACCACCTGAGACCGCAGGCACTCAGAGTGAGTGTGTTATGCCGTCAGGAACTGGTGGCTCTGTCTGTATCTGTGAAGTTAGATGGCAGGCCTCAATGGGCTCAAAAAGCTCAGAGCCCTTGCTAGCCTGAAAGTCTCCAGTGTTCGTGCTAAGATTAGTGCATCTTCACATGCCTTTTCCCAGAGACGTTTCCAGAGTTACCTGTGCCATCCTCCACCAGCGAGGCCTCTACAACTATGCTGTCCTGATAATACCGAAAGTCTCGGCTGAAAGAGGACAGACTCACATTTGTGAAGAAGCAACCAGTCTTGTCTGTCTGAAAGTACAGAGAGAGGAAACAAGGTCTGAGCAAGGCACTTACGTTAGAAGTTACCCAAATAGGGCAGAAACAGCAGCGCAAAATCCCCACTCTCAGGGAGCTTGCCTTTCGACATAGCAGTCAAGGAGGTGGAGCAGGCACATGATGCACACCCAGTCATAGTCACCAGGCACAGTTACTAAGAGGCAGCACCAGCAGACCAGTGGCCAAGCAGCCAAAACCACAGGGTAACATCAATACTATTTCAGCTAAAGCCTCCAGCAGCCTTGCCTTACCCTGGCGCTGAGCACAAATGTCTCTGAATACTGCTCAGCTCCTGCTAAGCATCTCACCTGGTTGTTAAATTCCTGACAGAGATCAGGTTTTGAAGCACTGGGCAGGAAGGGTGCTATCTTCTGACAAAGTTTCACATGAACCATCCCCTGGACACCTTTCCCGTAGGTGTATCTGTTTGGGGGAGCAGGGAAAGGAAGAGACAGTCATACACAGTGAGAGAACACAGGGCTTGCTTTGCATAGCCCCAGAGACCACTTATTCACAGATACAATACAGCACAAGAGTGGCGGCCACACAGCAGGCCCAGGAGCCCTGCCCCAGTAAGCAGGGTCAGGCTAGGGCACTGCAGTGATGGGAGATCAAGGACTCTGGATATAATTAAGGCCAAACTAATCTGTTCTGGGAAACCAGACTGTTGTAGGTGCTGACTCAGCACAGAGCTCTGCACTTTACATCAGCATCACCTGCAACAACCCCAGGATATGCCGAAGGCATGCATCATCTTATGAGCAGAAGCATGGGTGATTAAGACAGTGCCTTTCATTAAGAAAGCACCTTTACATAAGGCTGTTAACCCTAGCGTTGTCCTTGGACTGTACCTGGGGCAACTCCTTTTTGCCTCTCTCTAGTTTCCACTAGAGCATAATCTGGAAAAGCTTCCCTTCATTTCCCATGAGTTTGTTCTGCAGGGAGATGAGCACCATCTGCCACGTTCTACCCCACAAACGGCTGCCTGTCAAAGGGTAGGTTGTTCCCCCAGGTTTTGTGTGTAGAGACTTGTGGATTTTTTCTAGAAAAGGGGCACTAGAGTACCAGAAGGATAGTTATAGGAATGTTTTGTGTTGCATTAGGGTGCAAACAGCTGCTGTGCAAGATTCTGGCCTCCCATAACTGAAGTGTAGTAAATTTCCCCTGAGCTCCTCATGGTTACCTAGCCAGTTTGTGCTCATCAGGCCAGAAATTAACACAGGGCCATCCCTTCATGCGGAGTCCTCACCTGCCACATACCCGGAGTGGGAAGGTTTTATCTAGTGCATAAATCTGATTTGGCACCTCAAAGATCACTTCAAATTTTGTCAGCCCTGGAAGGGAAAAACAAAGAACTGTAGGAAACACTGGCCAGGGACAGCCTTTCCAGAGAATCCACATGAAAACAGACTATGGTGGAACAGGAGCCAGGAAATGGAGAAGGAAGGTTGTGAGAAGGGGAAAGGGAAGATTTCCATTGTTTCATTAACAGATTTGTGTGTAGTCCCTGGTTGATTGCTCTGTCCCAAACTAAAACATGTCCATGTCCCTGCACTTCTGACAGCTATTTGCACTGAGAGAAGACTAGCCTCCCAACCTAGTTAATTAGGGGACGAAAGAGAAGTGGGATGGCCCTGGACTTCATACTCTCTGGAAAAGCCCATCCTAAATGACTTTGTTTTGTCTGACACAGAGATCTGCAGGCATCAGCTATGTCAAAGGTCTGGGGCCATGCACAACATTCCTCCCATACACTGACCAAAGGTCCCAAAGAGGTCTCTCTTCTGAGCCTCAGCTCAGATTCTTTTCTATGACAGATGCTATTACTTTTCCCACTTGCTCCCAGGATGATTATCATGGAATAAACACCCAGCTTCCTGGATCAAGAGTGCAAGGTCCTCTCTGCAGCTCAGACATATCCCCCACATGCTCATACCATACTCCTCAACGGAGAAGCTGCCATACACTTTCGCATTGGTTACGTTGATGATGTATGTCCCCAGCAGAGGCTCATCACTTAGCTGGAAAGACAAATCTGCAATGCCGTCTTGGGGGACTACATTCAGCCACTGCTCTATCCGGTTGTTCTTAGGGTCCTACACTCATAAGAAAGGAAGAAACAGTTGTTCCAGCAACTCACAGATTCATATCCCATAGAAATCGAGCTTCAGGATTTCAGTGCTGCAAAACTATCAGGCTTTATTGCTAAGGAGTCAGGTTTGGTATAGGCTAGTCAAGAAATTTTGAACACAATATAATGCTCAGATTCTGCTCCCAGCATGCAAGTCTCCTTCTACACTTACCTAAATTCTGATCTCAAGGAAAGATCCTTCACAGTTTTAACTTTTTTTTGTAAAGGTCTAAGTTGATCTGTCTATACTCTTGCAAATCTAGAATAACTCAGATTTCTACTGAAGTAACTGGGAGCATAACCTCAAGTAAGTGCATAAAAAAAGAAGCTGTAAGGAGTAAGTTAGTTTAAGAACTCTTGAAGTTCTACTACTCCACTCTGAAGTCTGTAAAATTTACCAGGAACTGAATACGAATAGCCCAGTGAAATGGCTGCCATCAACATTACTGCAACACTGGATTTCAGCATCACTTACCTGGAGAAACAGGGAAATCTAGGGGGGGAAAAAGGCAAAAACATTAGAAGACAGAAACACATGCCAGCAACACATACAAAGTACTTCAGATGTAGAGCCTTCTCTGAAGGATGTGCAACTAGTGATTTGGAAACTTAGAGCACTACAACGATATAAAGTAAAACAAAAGTCACCAAAAAGGAGAAATACTGACTGGGTCCATTACGGTAAGGACTGGAGAAAAGGAAATGAAAAGCCAACCTGGAGGTCACCCAGCACTTGCTAATGACTTCCTGGCAGAGTCCTCCATCAGGTAAACTCACTACCCAAACAGACCTAGCTGTGGCTCAGCTGCAGTCTTGATGGGGTTACAGTGGTATAGGATCACATAGTTTAGAAGGAACCTCTGGAGGTCATCTAGTCCAACACCCTGCTGAAGCATGTCTTCTTAGAACAGATTGCTCATAGCCTTCTCCAGCTAAGTTTTGAACATCTCCAAGGATGAAAATGCCTTCTCTGGGCACCTGTTTCAAAATCTGATCATCGTCATAAAAATGTTTCTCATAATGTCTATTCAGAATTTTCCATGTTCCAACTTGTAGGAGCCAGATTAAGAGCACCCCTCCCCACCACACATCCAGGAAAATCTGACTTGCAAACTATTCACTCCCCACATGACACCATCACATCAGGAATCAGTATGTCTCGTGCTTGTGTTTGCACAACCATTTTACCAAGACGAGCAAGAGACATGTACACCTCTGCCATCTTCCTGAGTTACCAGCTTTTACTTGAGTTACTATTCTTCTCTGGACACTCATCAAGCCTGGCCCAGGGATGAATGTGGAAAACTTGGAGCTTTGGCAGATGAGCAGGGTAGAAAGGAAGTAGGATCCACGCAGGGTAGAAAGGAAGTAGGATCCACGCAGGGTAGAAAGGAAGTAGGATCCACGCATGGGACAAGGTAGCCTTTTCCACAGCCCCCCAGGGCTGGCTTACCGAATCATTGAGTGCAATGAATTCCTCATCCAGAGTCACGACGCGAAATTTCACTGAAGGCAAGGAAATCAGGGAATATATTTATCAGATCTCAGTCCTTCCCTACAGACCCCTGCTCTATTTGTTTCCCTAGCTCCTGTCTCCATTCTATACACATTTGTGATAACATCTGACATGGACGTTCCCACATGTAAGATACCATAATGACCAACTGCCTCCTGCAACTTCAAGTAACTACAAGCTGGATATTACAGCCACTGAAAACATCCCATCAACAAGAAACATTGTCTTAAGGCCTTCTGCTAGGGCTGTCCATGAATTTCAGGCAATAGCAGGCTTTCCATATGGTCTTACCAGCAGAAAGCCAAGGGCCCATGGTTGCTCCCATTTGCAGCTCTCACCTGTCTGCCCTGGCTGATAGATGGGCTTGTCTGTTTGGATGAAAGTACCACTGCTGGCCTTGCGGATCAGGACCTTTTTCTTCTCCTCGACATTGATGGCTTCGCCTGTGATGATCAGTTTGACGGTGGCAATCTCCTCTGTGCCATTATCTGGAGGTGCAACCTGTACAGGGAGAGGAGAGCACTCAGCGCCCAGGTAATCTTCTGGGGGCCCTGAGCAGGAATTGAGAGTAAAGTGGAAGAACTAACCAGTTCCCCTCCACCTGTCCTACGACATCCCCTCCAATATCTGGATCCAGATCACATCCAGATCTCACTCAGTCCTACATGAAAGCAGGAGGCCCTGCATGTCATGGAATCTATCCTTTTTCTCACTGGTTAAGGAATTTTGCCTCTGGTGACAAGCAGGTGCCTGACACCTCTGAGTCTTCAGATTTGGTCAGGAAGATGGGCAGGTGGTAGCAGAGAATCAAAGGAGAGAGGTCGAGCTGCAGCACAGCCTTAAATGCTAGGCCTTCAGAACTACCCAGCATGTACAAGTAACAAAGCCAGATTAGAAAAGACAACCTGAAGGTCTTCCTGAATCCAGCAACCAAAGACCCCAGCAGCCTCAGCACAGAATATATTGTATAATAGAAAGGAAACTGTTTAGGCATGTGTGCCTTATCCTAGATCTTTGCTAATTTCTCACCAACAATGAATCAGCTCTAAGATGCTGTTTAAAAATAACAAGCACATCCATTTCCACCCAACTGCTCTTCAGTATCTACTAAGAGCCGAGTTGCTGCCTGACTTCCTACAGAAACTGCAGTATGTCATGCAAACCACTGTTTCCCCAAGCTTTAGCTGTGGAGCTGGGCAAACCCTTCAGAGAAGAGCTAAAGCTGCTTCATCTGGTCTGGGATGGAAAAGAAGGAAACAGGTGGGTTCCTCTTATGTATCCAGAAGTGTGCTAAACTCTAACAGACATAACTTCCAATTTACAAATTAGATTCAGAAGGGGAATTCAGTGCTGACCAACTGCCTCAAGTGGCTCACCCAGAACTTAGCGCACATGAAAGTCTTCTCCTTCTGGATAGTTTCTTGCGCTAAGAGCTCACGTCCTGCAGAGCGCTCCAGGACTAGATTCACTTGAAGCTTTGCTTCATAACAGGTGATATGGAGGCAGGCAACTTGGGTGGATGGATAGCGGAGATCTGCAGGGATCACCACCAGGTAATGTCTGGGGCAGGGGAAAGAAGACATCAGAGATGGCATCAGGTTGAGGGCTCAGAGATGCAAAAGAGCTTCCCTGCAGCAGCCCACTACTGCAGAACTCCTCAGCAATGTGCCACAGCTGCAGTCTATAATCAAAAGCAACAGTGAACCCAGCAAAGTGATTGCTTCACTGATAACTTTAGAAATAGTTTCTGCTTGATTAGCTCAAGTACAGCCTTATAATCTCTTACAAATCCCTTACTGCAGTTAACTCCTAAACTCCCCAAAACCATCCCTTGCAGTCTTCAGAAGAAGTGGCCTAACAATCTTGCAGTCTAGACACCAGTGATTTGATCTGGCATGGCAACTGGAGAAGCAAACATCCCTGGGCCTAAGGTCTAACTTGGAAGCCCCCCAAAAAGGTGGCTTGTATTTTAACTCACAGGAGTCAATCTAATGCATGGGAGGCAAGGTAAATGACTCAGCTACCCTTTGGGGTGATCTGATAGACCAGGAAGCACAAAAGCTGATTCAGCATCACTCACAGTTGGTGAAAAGCAGCTGCCATGTGGAACAGAAGGCTCAGGAGGATGGCTATCCTCATCTTGGGGGCTCTTGCTGCCCAATCTCCAATGGCCCTCTTCCTCTGAAATCACTGAGGCTGTTTTAAGGGGGAGTAATTTCTTTCTAGCACAGCCTAAATGAAGAGGTGGGATGCGGGGAGGAGACAGCCTCTCTCCACCTCTTCCTCGCTCCTGAGATTATACGAAGGCAGTGGTAGGGCTGGGTGTACTGTGCCAAGTGCCCCTTAGCCAATAGCAGCCACTTTGGCTGCCATCCACCAGTTCAGAACATCCCCTCCTGTGAGGCTGCCATGGAGACATCTGACCAATTGTGGGGGGGGGGGGGGGGGGGAACCCCAAACAAAAAAAACAGTGAGAACTTTGCTGATCAGTGACCCAGGCTGGGTCCTGATCACTTGTCACTTGCGTTCCTTTGTTTCAGCTGGAGATGGATTGCTGCTGTGCAGCCAGCAGCAAGAGCTCACCCCAGCACACAGCAGGCAGTGTTGTCATTCGGGACAGAGGCTCAGTAGCTCTGGCTCAGGTTATGGGGCTGTGGATCTCCTTAGGCTGTTTGGCTTGAGAATGGAAGCGAATCCTTGCATGTGCACAAAGAAATACTGTAGCAACAGTACCACCAACCAGCAACCACTTATGAGCTAATGACTTTGCTTTTTCCTTCCCCACATACAATGAGGGAAATGGAAATATATACTGGCCAGCATGGGTCTCCACTAGCTCCCTGCAACACCCATTAGCCATTGCACCACCTGCAAGGAGGGGGCCTCAAGAACTGGTTCTCATTTGTCATTGTTCATGTCTGGATCTGAAAGGTCTAGGGTACAGGAATGCAGCCTTTTGGTTCTGTTTTTGAACCTGAGGGTTGGGTTAAAACTCACAAATTAGACAGGTAGAACATTTTCTCGCACTGATGATAACGTGTACAGAAGGGTAGACAATTGTGCTGTTTAATCAGCCTGGCCTCCAGAAAAGCACGGTCACCATGTAAACTATGTACTGTGAGTGGTACACGGTTTGCATGAACTGACAAACTACATCCGAGACTTGTGTGAGACAGGATTAGTTAAGCTGAAATGTAACAGGGACTGTCCTAATAATACAGAGAGCTACGATTCTGTGCCTGGAAGTATTTCCCAGCGCTGTTTAATAGTGCTGATACAGCCTAGGCTTTCCATATCTGGGTCCCAACATGGTGTTACTTAAGCAGGCAGTTGGGATCTCTTTGGCAAACCCAGGTTCTAGTACACCCAGAAATTTCCAGTTAACTTGGGATCCCTGTTCCCAAGGCTCTCCATACTCTTTTTCCAGATGGAGTTCAGAAGACTGATCTCCATTTTATGTCTATCACTGGGCCACTCTAGAACAAGAACACATCATGGAGGCTATACTTATGCACAGGAGCTGTTAGTGCTAGCATTGTTTTTGTCTCAAGTGAGTATTTCACTGCTCAACTGATGGATATCGCCAGCTAGAGGCCAAATATCCCAACTGATTTCAGAAATTAGCTTTGAGTTGGTCTAAATCAGTGTTAGGCTCCTAGGCAAGGAAGACTGAAACTTTTTATTTTGATGGACACATTCTCCCCATTCTTCTCTCTGTGAAGGAAGGTCACATTACTGAGAATGGCAGGCAAACTTACAAATTTTTATCTAAAGCCTGAGATTTTCCTACAGAAAGCACCAGCCAGATCTGTCATAAATCACTAAACCATAGCCAGAGAGGTCCAGCTGCTGGCAGACTTCTGACAGGACCTGCACCCACTGGGCCAGCACTAAGGAGTTCTCTCTGACCCTGTCCCACCATGCTCCTCCTACCATGTTTGCCCAGGTGCATTCTCTGTTCCTTGCTTGGCTTCGACAAACCTGGCTCTCGGTCACAGGAACATACATCTGGAGGATCTGCATTGAAGGCAGTGACAGGCAGCTACACAGGTGTCATAGACCTGAACAAAGTCTCTGAAACAGTGAAAGCACAGCAAGGCTGTGCAGTTTCTGGTTCTGCAGTTTCTTTCTCTAAACGGAGTCAGAGAAGGCCTCTGTGATAGAAGTGCTGAGCCAAGAGACCCATGGGGAGTAAGGCATCTACCCCTCCTGAAAACACACTGTTCAGCTGGAGCAACTACATGGTACATACTATCAACACAAAACCATATAGAAAGATACCTGTTCTCCACAGATAACTTGAATCAAAAATGAAAAGGAAGAAGAGGAGACTTAGTAAAGGTCACACCTATGATCATGGAAGATATCTTCCATGGTTCAGAATGAGGACCAGGAGCAATGACACCTTGGAAATCACTCCAATGTTTTAGTATCTTTGAAGAAAACAAAAAGGCAATAGCATCAGTATTCTGTATAAGAGTACTGGGAAAGCACCGATGTCGGCAGAGCACTTTGACAGGAGACTGCACAGAGGAGGAAGTCATCAGTTTCTTTAAAGAGTCGCATCTTTCAGAGAGCCTATAGTACAGAATAATTCATCAAAGCAACTGAATCATTCTTGATTCTCCTCTAGACACTCATTACTAGCTTCTTACAGGCCTAGGGCCTTCTCCGTTGTTGCCCTCTTTCCTTTCCAGTCACAAACTTCATGCTCCTAATCACTAACATTTCCAGCTCACCTCTTACACACACATACACACACTCTGTAACTACTGTGTAGCATCTTAAAATACAATGGGATTTGAAATCCTTGTGTTCTGATAGTGAAGTATACTTTTGCATTAAGGATATTTCACAGTCCATACAGGGTTCATAAAAATCTGTGAGGCCATAATGTTTCTGCAACCTGACCAGCATCCGTAACAATGGAATCCCCCAAAAGAATCTCTCCATAATGCCAAGGTAGACTGCTGCACTCACTTTCTCCTGCCTTGACAGCAGAATTTGTCCACTGCACCAAAGCCAAGCAAGGAACTGAGAACACACCTGGACAAACACAGCAGGAGCAAGAACTGACTGGGTCAGAAAGCTTGATAGAACATAGGCAACTGTTCTATACCTCTCTCAATAGGTATAGAACACACATATCTCTCCTACACCAACATCATTCAAGAAGTGCAAATCTTATGACATTTTTGCCCAGAAATCTTCTGCAAGCCTTTAGATTGTAGGCTTTAAATTTGTTAATTGGAATGGTGCTTTGGAGAATTGTAGAACTATGCCCAAGGGAGTTCGGAAACCTTCACAAGGCGGCTTTCAAACCATAGGCAAGCCATGGATCTCTCTCCAAAGAACAGGTGTGAACCCTGAAACCTGCAGCTTTGCATACTTTTCACAAAAGGGCACAAATTACTAGTGCAGCTTATTTCTAGCTAACACTCAAAAAATCCACACAACCCATTGAAAGAGCCCATCATCTTCTGAACCTTCTTGGCCCAATACCAAAGGTCTGGTTCCTGCTTCATCTCTCCTACTCCCCTCACTGAACTGAGAAAGTCTCAACAGCACTCCAGGCATAGTGATGTCTCTGAACCATAACATCATGACTTATAAATTCAAATCTAGCCATCAAGTAGATCAGCACTCATGGAAGTTGAAAATTGTTTACAAGTTGGTAAACTAGCTCAACCAAAACCACAAAGACATCCAGATCTGAATGCTGTGGCTTAGGAATCATCTCTAGCATTAACAAAGAATCAAAACTCAAACCAGAACCTAGTGGTAAAGTTTGGAGTCCTAGATAAAGCAAGTTCTACCAGAATAATTGTGGTGAAATTTCAACTACATGTAATATATTTGTGGAGCCATTTGTCAGGTGTTATGTGAGATTCTTAATTTTGGCAAAGCCACTTACTTTTGCAATTAAGTGGCAACTTTGATTACACCCAAGGAGCTCTTTCTTTGTGGAAGGACCAAACAAAACTCATTTTGTATGGAAATAGTTCTAGTAAAGTGACCTGAGACACTGCAGTAGCTTGGAAGAGCTGATCTTTGTGGAATACCTTGAACACTGCCAGACATGGGCAGGAGGCTACACTCAAAGTCAGGATATTTCCTAAAAATCTTATTACTGTACCTTTTCCATTTAATGTAGGACTGAGCATACAACTGGAGATGAACCATACAGCAAGGAATAGAGACCTCCCCACAATTACTGAACACAGGCTCAGAAGTTTAAAATTAAAAGGTGTGTGGAAGAAGCATCAATGTAAAACACATATTAGACATAATTCACAATGCTGGTCTATCTGCACCAGCTATTTTGATGACACACATACACATATGCCAGGTACACAGGTGTGCCATCTTTCTGGAGGCTGCATGAAGAAAGTGACAGAGAAGATTTCTTCCTTTTGAGGAAAGGTATCGGAGATTCTTCGTCTTCCTCTGGCAATCTCAGTCTCATTAGTCCATTCTCTTGCTTCCCTCCTCTTCCTCTGCTGTCTTCTTTGGGTAGCCTTCCTTTGCTGAGCTGTAAAGGACAGGACACAGTAAGCAGTTGGCCAGTTCGCAGATGAGCAGCTAGTCCCTGGGCACTTGGAGGGAATGGACCTGCTGCACAGGGTAGTTCCCTTCCTGGACACTGGTGTGCTCAGTCAGGGGGATAGTCTCTGTTTAACAAAGCTCTTTTCACCTCTCTGGAGCTCTTTTCTCCTTCTCACCTACCTCGCAATTCTGCTGTGATTATAGCTCCTCATTTTACTGCACATAGAGAAGGTGAAAATATTTGCTCCCTACAGCAGAGACACCAGCTATTCTATCCAGCATCCAGACTCAAGCAGAGATGACAGTTTGAAGGAAGGTGTGATGGTTATCAAGGGACCTATCTGCTAAATACCAGGAAGACTTCATGGACACTAAAGGTAGTTCGAAAATTTCTGTCTCTGTACCCACTCTGAGCACATCTTACACCACAGTGTTATGGGGCTGAGCTAGGTGGAGTACTCACCTAGCTGTTTAAATAGCTGTGGGGCACATTAGAGCAATTAAGCATATTTGTATTTCATAGGAAGCAACGAGATAATTTACACTGTATAGCCACTGTTGTTCTGGTTATATGCACAGAAAGCTGGGCAACG